TGATAATACTCTCAGTGTTGCCACTATCTCCAAACATCTTACAGGAAGGAAGCTTAGTAACACCTTCGACATGAAAGCAAGAGTGTAAGTTATTTCTCGTATAGGATGCTGCATCTCTGTGAGAGAAAGAGCAAGAGATCTAAACATTAGGTATGATGCAGTGACAGTAATAATAATGAATGTGTTCTACAATGAAACACTTATTGTGAAGTGAGACAATGTTCGACTCATCATATGATGACCCATCCAAATGCTGTTGAGTGAAATCTACTCTGGTATATCTTAAATACAGTTGCGAGAAACAACAGAAGATTTAGCAGAATAAGAGTTTTAGCCAAGTTAATTTACACTGAATTAAAGAATCTCTTGATAGGCGCATTTTCTCCAGAAATCAAAGTCCCCCAAACGCCGCATATGTCTTTTTTTTTTTTTTTAAATTGTGACTTTCACAAACGGAAATAGTAATGAGCTCCATTACTGATAAATGATAAAATGATCTTATCGTGTTGGTTCAGGGTTCTCTACTTATCTTCTTATGTTCAGTACCTTATTCAGTGGATTTATTTTATCATCATCCTATATTCTCCAGAGATATTCATTTCAGAACATAAGAGGCACTTAAATAAACACTTATGAACACTTAAATAGACACGTGATTCAAGATTTTTATTAGTCATCCACGACGGGGAACCTTTAAGATGTTGCGAGATTTTTCCCTTTTATCTTTTCTTCCTCCGTGTCTTCTTTTCTGTGTACGGTCACTAGGTCCAGATTCTTTGAACAGTAAGGCAGCGTTGTATAGCCCATGTGGTTTAGCGCTTCCTTTTGATTATAATAATAATTTGAACAATAGGCATGTGCAGGCGCCCGATGACCACAGGTATTGAACCCATTTACAGCAATCCAGAGAGGTACAGATAACTTCCAAAACATCAGTGGCGTAGCCACGACAGCTGAGAGTCAAAATCAAGTGTTTACGAGCATATTTGACTATTATATATATAAAATAGTGTGAAATTTTTGTTACCTTTAAATCACACACAATAAATTTCAGTTTAATTCTTTGTAAATGGCTTCAGTATTTAATGGCTGATACATCTTACAGCCAGGAAACTAATTATTAAGTTTTATCTGAGTGCAGCCAAATTCCTGATGTTGTAAAATAGTTGAAAAAATCTAGGAATCGTTAGAATCCGAGTTATAACTGGAGTATACCTGGAGTATAACTGGAGTATAACTGGAGTATAACTGGAGTATACCTGGAGTATAACTGGAGTATACCTGGAGTATAACTGGAGTATACCTGGAGTATAACTGGAGTATAACTGGAGTATACCTGGAGTATAACTGGAGTATACCTGGAGTATAACTGGAGTATACCTGGAGTATAACTGGAGTATAACTGGAGTATAACTGGAGTATAACTGAAGTATACCTGGAGTATAACTGGAGTATACCTGGAGTATAACTGGAGTATAACTGGAGTATAACTGGAGTATACCTGGAGTATAACTGGAGTATAACTGGAGTATAACTGGAGTATAACTGGAGTATACCTGGAGTATAACTGGAGTATAACTGGAGTATACCTGGAGTATACCTGGAGTATAACTGGAGTATATCTGGAGTATAACTGGAGTATAACTGGAGTATATCTGGAGTATAACTGAAGTATACCTGGAGTATACCTGGAGTATAACTGGAGTATAACTGGAGTATAACTGGAGTATAACTGGAGTATAACTCGTATAATCAGTTATACGTGGGATAACTGAAGAAAACTTCCTTTATAGTCATCAGATTTTCAAAACTTGTTTCTTACTGAGAGTGCAAGTGTGAGGGGCCGCTATTTTCCAACTTACATTCTTCAAATGATATAGTATTATTTTACGTTATTTTGCCTTGATGCTGGTGAGGGGCTCTTGCTCCAAGGAACTGGCATTATCCTCCCTTTTTTTGAATATAATCTAATTGCATCAAATTCTAAAAGCACTATATGACCCCTACTAGTTTAACGCTTTCCGCTGATTGAAATACAACAATCGTCAATATCATTTTAGTCTTCAATGGCTGATTTATTCTATGAAACGCATGAACAAAAGTCTTGGATCAGGCAGTGTAAATGATCCTTTCCTTGGATTTTGTCTAATTACTGGAGAATGACTCTTCTGGCTTTTTCCTCAATGGAAGCTTTTCCTTGCTTTTAGTTTGTGTAAGCTCAAATTTTTAAATTTTATTAGTCAAGTTGGTTTCCGTGAAATAACTGGAGAATGTCTCTTCTGGTCAGAAATAATTTAGTGTTTAATCTAACTGGGTCATCTTAGTCTAAATCTGCGTAGTGTTCGTTTAGGTTTTTTTTTTCCTTAATTTCTTACATGGATACTTAATCTTACCTGGAGTAGGTTTGGAAGGTGTTTCGGGGGTCAACGCCCTCACATCCCCGTCCATGACCAGGCTTTGCGGTGGATCAAGGTCTGATCAAACATGCTATTACTGTTGGCTGCACATAAACCGACCTATGAACCAGAGCCCGGTTGGTCAGGAACTGACTTTAGGTGTCTGTCTAGCTCTCTCTTGAAGACACACTGGGGTCAAGGTATCAACGGAGCTGGTTAAAAGTCTGGTAGCGGTGAATGAATGATTCTCTTCTGAGGCAACGAGTTTGCTTTATGGGTTCTTTGTACAGGCAGTGTGATAGCTTACCCTGGGAGGCCATGCCAGGGTCCTGAGCCAGCGAGGGAGACAGAGGAGTGCTAGTAAGCTTGTTGCCTCTTGAATGTCTGAAGGGTGAGAGCGAGGCAGCATCTCGCAGCCTGAGGCCAGGCCTAAGGCCCGCTAGACGGCAGTACTGGTGACGCGAAATATAACGGACGGCCTGAAGCAAAATATAAACCCTAACAGGTATACATATGGAAATCCACTTTATATATGCTGGGAGGCGGTTGAACAGTCTTGGGCCCCTGACACTTACTGTGTCTCTTAACATACTCATAGCACCCCTGCTTTTCAATGGGGTATAATACACCGCCCAGCCAAGTCTTTTGCTTTCGTAGGACCGATTTTCGTGTGCAGACTTAAAACTAGTCCCTACTAGGCTTATATATCTATGGCAGATATGTGGATAAGGAAAAGGATGGGAGGGAGTACTGTACCTCGTGGAACAAAGCTTTTCCTTGCAGCCGCCTCTGGCTGTACTCTGTTTGCTATTACTCTTTGAGTTCTATTTGTTAGGAAGTTATAGATGCAGCTACCCACTTTTCCTATTATTTCTTTATCACGCATTTTGTGCGCTATTACACCATGGCCGCACTTGTCGAAGGCTTTCGCAAAATCTGTGTATACTACATCTGTATTTTCTTTGTCCTTCAGTGCATCCAAGACCATATCATAGTGGTCTAGTAGCTATGAGAGGTAGGAGCGATCTGCTCTTATCCCAGACTGCACTGGGTTGTGCAACTGTTGGATGTCGAAGTGGTTGGCGACCTTTCCCCTTAGAACACTTTCGAAGAATTTTATGATGTGAAATGTTAGTGCTGTCTGTCTGTAATTCTGTAATTAGTGCCACCTTTGTTGAGTAGAGCTATACATGTTGTTTTTAGTGACTGAGATGACCCCCATGGGTAGGCTCCCTTTCCATGAAATGTTTAAAGCACGTGAAAGGAGTTTCTTGCAGTTCTTGATGAACACAGAGTTCCATGTGTCTGGGTCTAGGGTAGAGTGCATAGGCTTTTCATTT